ACAATTCACTGGCAGGCCAATCGAATCTCTCTCTGTCGATCAATATCCTATTAAAGCAGCACACAAAGAGAGAGAGAGAGGAGGGGGGAGAGAGGGGGAGAGAGAGAGAGAGAGAGAGAGAGAGAGAGAGAGAGAGAGTATAGGTTAGTGTAGTAGGCCTGTATTAAATGTAATTGGTCAGTTCAGTATATTTGTGCAGACTGGATTCTGACTTCTCCTCCTCAATCATCCCTCTCTCTCTCTCTCTCTCTCTTTCTCTTGCTCTCTCTCTCTCTCTCTTTCTCTCTCTCCAATCTGTCATTAAACTCTCGGTCTTTCACTCCATCTCTTCCTGTCATTCTCTCTCTGATCCTCCCTTTTTTCCTAATATTCCCTCGATGTCCCTTCACCTCTCTCTTTCTCTCTCCACATCCAGCTCTCTCCTCTCTCTGCTCTCTCTCTCGCTCTCATGTACACCGACAGAGTTTTTGTTCCTTCAGTCCACGCTGACTGCGAGTAGATGTCGACACTGTACAGGTGTTTTCAGACAGCGAGCGGCTGCAGGTTGACGTTCTGTATTATGGATCGGGGAGCGGTGACTCTTGTCTGCCATCTTACAGTTTTTCACAGTTGCTAAAACAAATTTCTTGAAACACAGCTGTCAAACTACTTTCACCAAACCTCAGATTCTTCTTGCAAAATCAAACAATCACCTCAAAACAGTTTCAGATCATACATAATGCCGATCAAACTAAAAACACCTCTGATTGTTCATCACACACTACAGAGAACAATAGAAAACACAGTGTTCAGAGCAGGCAGCTGCAGAAAGGTTTATTGTTTATAACAGAGTAAAGGCATTTTCTCTTTTCTAAACAAATATTCACAGCTCAGTAACAGTTACAGTATCACCTACTGTAAGTACTGTAAACAAAGTATTGACTCTCTAGATTCAGCTCTTCCAAACAGTAAAACGTCAGAATGACAAAAGGCAAAAACAACATAAAGACACCACATGGAGACAAGAAAAGCTGTGATTGGTCGGCTTGTGTTTTCTCCAGCAAGTTTTCTTATTTAGAGTGAAAGCAACATGAAGCAGGTTGAAGATACACACATGTGATGAAGCAGATCCACAGTGAATACACAGCCCCATCATCCTTTAGTCAAAACCACCCAACATTTAAAGCTTCCAGGTTCTCACACATCGCAACTGTTCACACTGTTGTTCAGAGACGAAACAAGACGTCATGATGTCACCGTGGACTCTAGGAAACTGTGTTTACCGTTTTCAGATGTTTTATAAACCCAACGAGCAGAATAATCAATTATGAAAATAATCACTGCTGTAAAGCTCCAGCTATAAATCTACAGATGAAAAACATGTATATTCAGAACACATGTACACATGTCTCTGTCTCTCTGAGCCACTTTGATGTTTATAGACACTTGTAACAAGTTCAATCTGCACACACACACACACACACACACACACACGTATACAGTGATGCATGACTGCAGTGCCAGGGGCACACCTTGGCACTGACACAAATTTCATACACACACTCACTTTTCCTCACAGTGTGTCAAGAGAGCTGATATTAGACGCAAGGATTTGGGGATTAAGTTGATATGATGGCATCTGCATCCCACTGCACACACACACACACACACACACACACTCTGAACACACACTCACTGACACACACATCTACAGGGAGCACACACACACACATAAATAGATAAGGAGGCAGATGACCCACTTGGCACCTTCTAGTACCTTAGTCTTGAGGCATTCCCACCCAACACACACGCACACACACACGCACGCACACACGCGCGCACACACACACACACACACACACACACACACACACACAGTATGTGATGCAGGGATGAAAAGATGAATAAAGCTGGAGGCCTGCATGGTTCAGACTCATCCATCCCTCCTTCCTCCTGCCCTCTGTCGCCCCTGGCAACACACACACACACACAGACACAAACACACGCACCTGGTGATGTGCCAACACCATATGGGAAGCCCAGCACAAATGGCACAAATGTGTAGTAATTTCAATAATAATCACAATAATAATCACAATAATAATAATAATAATGATAATAATAATAAATCTGTTACAAAGTGAATTAGTGACGATAAAACATTTCTCTCAATAGAGAGTCACGGTTTGAATCTATAAACATCAGCAGAGGAATCAGATGTTTGTTGAAAAGGTGTTACAGTGATAAACCTTATAAATGACCTGAAACATCTTTAATACAGTGAAGATGAAGCTGCAGCAGAAAAACTGAAAAATCCCAAACTCATCTGCCAGAATATTAACGTCATGTTTCACTGATCCTGGCTTCTTCTACTCTCTGATGCTCTTTGAATTTATTACCTAATTCTACTTGTAAAGCCCAGAGAGGTCTGTCAGAAGGTTATATTCCTGACCATCCCGCCCTCCTGAGATCCTCAGATCTGTCTCCTCCTTGTTCTCAGGTCCAGACTTTGCAGTTAGACCTCCTGGACTCTGGGCCTGACTTACCTGAGGAGAAACTCCATTGCATCTTTTAAATCTCGTTTAAAAACCATCTTTACATCTTTAAACTGCTCTCAGTGAATTATTTATTACAATGTTGGTGTTTTATTTCGTGGGATTTCTATTAATGTGATGTTTTATTCTTCTTCTGTATTCTTATTTGCAACCTGTTCTCATTGTGAAGCTTTGTGAAGTTCCACATGAATTAAGTTTATTATTAGTGTTAATATGAACAGACAACATCCTGATGGTTTATCTGTTCTTAGAGTCTCACCAGTGGAGCTCAAACTCTCAGAGGAAGTGTATTTGTTTGGACCTCCTCAGAGATCAAACGGGTCCGGTGTTGTGCAGTTGTCTGTACCGGTTCAGCCAATCACACCTTTGTAAGTGGGATGAAGAGCGAGGACTTCATCTTGTGTCAGAGGCAGAATCAAAACAAAAACTGGCGGCAAAGGCAGATGAGATGAGATCAGCAGACCGACGGGTTGTTGTGATGTAGTCTGAAGAGCGTCACACAGGCGTCACTGCAGAGCGTCGGGTCGGCTGACCTCCCAACACGCCGCATGACAGTGATGTGCACATCCAGGGAGTGATTGTTGTAATAACTGTGTCCACATCCTGTCAGTGCGTGTTGGTCTGTAGGAGGTTACTGGCCTGAAGGTTGCAGGTCTGTGGACCAGCAGGAGAAACTTGAGTTCTCTTGAGCAGCTGCTCTGGCTATAGGTGTGACTCTTTGGCAAAGTCTCGATTTGATTCTTGATTCAATAAAAAGAAAGAGAAACAGGTGGAGAAAGGTGTAAGAGAGTACACAGCTTTTTATTCCAGTTATTTTGAACAGTTATTTATTAACCTGGAGGATGTTAGAGTCTTCTTCTTCTTCTATGAAAATCAAGTATGTTTAGTTGTTTAGTGACCAACATCACTGGTTAAAAGTTGGGGTGTGTGTTCTGGAGAAGATGGACTCAGATAACTCAAGACTAACAGAGCTTAGTCAGTGTTGATGACAGACTGTCCTGAAGGTGGCGCTACAGGTCACAGTTTGGCTCACGAGTATCCTCAGTAAATCTCATGTTAATCTGATCTGTGCTTGACTTGTTCTGTGCCAGGAGTTTTCAGTCTGACACTGTGGAGCTCGAGCTCTGCTCCTGTAATTGTTCTCAAATTGTCTCCATTTAAAAGCAGTTGAATCAGCTGTGATCGGCTGATGTTTGCAGTATATCATGGATGATCAGACAGATGTCACTGAGGGAAACTTAAAAACAAGAAGATTCTCGGGGAAGTTCTGCAGAGAGACAAAACGTCTTCTCTCTCATTTTAAACGTTTATTTACATTGTGATAATGATATCGTCAGAGTGTGATGTCTCACAGTCTGAAAACCTCTGGACCAACTGCCTGAAAACACACACACACACACACACACACACACTGGGGCTGTTGTTTTGTATTGTCATATATGGGATGTGCATAGTTGTACATCTAAATTAAGGTGTGTGTGTGTGTGTGTGTGTGTGTGTGTGTGTGTGTGTGTGTGTGTGTGTGCGTGCATGCGTACGTGCGTGCGTGCATGCGTTTGTGTTTGTGTGTGTGCATGTGTGTGTGTGTGCGTGCGTATGCGTGTGCGTGTGTGTGTGTGTGTGTGTGTGTGTGTGTGTGTGTGTGTGTGTGCAGCTCTCTCAGGCCAGCACTGTCTCTGCAGGGCAGAGAGAGAGAGTGAGAGAGCGAGCTCACGGTGCTGAGCTCAGCAGAAAACTACCCACCAGGTCCTGTCAGTCCTCCTCCTCCTCCTCCTCCTTTCATCCCATCACGCCATCATGCTCTCTGTCAATAAAGCGATGAAGAGGAGGGTTGGAGGAGGGGAGGGGGGGCTGGAGGCGAGGGGCTAGACGGATGTCCGGGTTTGAAGCAGATTGCTGCCTTTGTTCAGCAGGATTTTCAAATTGAAGCATTTGACAACAAAGAGCCAACTCTTTCTTTCTCTCTCTCTCTCTCTATCTCTGTCTCTCTCTTTCTCTCACCCCTCGCTCTCTCGCTACCTCTCTCCTCTAACAGTGAAAGCCCTCGCAGGCCTTTGTGGAAGAGCTGCTCTCCCCAGAGAGAAGCAGAGGAAGAGAGATAGAAAGATGTGGAGGAGGGTAAATGGCAGAAGATGGACAGATCAGAGAGAGAGAGAGAGAGAGAGAGAGAGAGAAGGAGCACAACTTGTTTTTGCATGTAGATGCTAATGTCATGCACTAACTCATATACACCCATTACACAATGTAGCATCAGGAGCCCTGTGCTAATACTGACCATGTAAACACAGAAGCTCCATATGAGCCTCTGACTGTGTTCTACACTGTAGATGAGGCGGACCAGGCTGGTCCAGGCTGACAGCCAGAGGAGGTGGTGGAGGCCCAGAATATTCTGGAGGGATTATATGTATAAGAACGTGATGATGTCAAGGGACTCAACATGTCTGTCTCTGTCTGTCTCTGTCTCAGCACCCATCGCAGCCGGCACCGGTCCAAACTTCTCATTGGCCGACCTGGACAGCTCCTCCTACTACAGCATGAGTCCAGGAGCCATGAGGAGACCCCTACCCAGCACCTCCTCCTCCAGGTAAACACACACACACTCCCCATATATGCAGTCCACAGTAAATGAGAGCTCATCAGAAACAGGATCATAAATCTGATCACATCCGTTTTGATTTCCCACAATGCAAATCCAGCTGCAGCTGAAGCTCTTCTTCTTCTGCTCTGTCAGATCAGTCTGTTGTTTCACTGATAAGTGTATGATCGTATGTCCTGACCAAGCATCAACCTCTGATGCTGAAACATGAAGCCAAAACCTGTAGTTCCTCTAATGGCCACTAGAGTCTGGCTCCAACAGTGAGTCAGTCTCCATAGACTCCCATGTTAAAATGTCCAACTTTACAGCAGAAATAAACATGTTTACAGCCTGGTACAAAAACTGTTTTGGTCTCTAGAGCTAATTTCCTCCTTCATGACAACTGTTTATATAACTCACCTGTTAACATTTTATTAAAGACTAAAGTTGTGAATAATTTAATGTATGGCCGCTTTGAGTGACAGGGGGGTAAGCATACGCTTACAGCATGCATGCACTGATAACTCAGATCCACCGACGCCCCTCCTCTTTGCCCATTTTTGGATTAATTGGGAGTTAGGGGCGGAGTCAGGTACTGCCAAGATGGTGTTGGTGGAGCAGCTCACTCCAAGCTTCAAAACCGCTCTTCAGAAACCTGTGGGTGACGTCAGAGAGGCTACGTCCATCTTTATTTACAGTCTGTGATTAGAAATCAGGAATTAAAGGAACAGAGACCTGAGCTGGACACACTCACTACATGGGTAGTGTCTTAGACCAGCAGGACCCCTGAAGTCCACATTTTCAAGGAGGACTCAAAGACTACATGAGAACATTAATGTACACATAGTCTGATGTGTTACAGAGTGTGTGTCCTCAGCAATGTTGTTTCATGTTAAGCCTTCACAAGGCGTATACCTACACACACACACACACACACACACACACACACACTCGCTTGCAGGGTTTGCCCTGACCTCTTGTGTTGAATCGATGCAGTCGCAAGAGTCGTCTGTCTGTCTGCTGTGATACCTGCCCTGCAGCACACACACACACACACACACACACACACACACACACACACACAAACACTGAACCACTGACTCAGATTAGTTGAGTGTGTGTGTTTCTGTGTGTGTGTTCTCTGTCTTTTTACACTCCCTCTCTCTCTCCTCTCTGACTCCACACACCTCTCCAGAGACCTCCCACACACACAAACACGCACACACACAAACACACACAGCTGCAGGGCAGTGAGGCAGATCCATATGGAAATCTTTAAGTCTTTACTAATGTCAAAGACTTTTCATTCATACATATACATCTCACTGTACAGGCAGGTCACACACAGACATAAACATACATACACACTCACACAAACTCAAATGCACACATGTCTTAACCTCCTGTTAAACAAACTCATCTGCTGAATGAGATGTTTGGCATGTCAGGGCGTGTGTGTGTGTGTGTGTATGTGTGTGCGTGTGTGTGTGTGTGTGTGTGTGTGTGTCTGTGTGTGTGTGTGTGTGTGTGTGTGTGTGTGTGTGTGTGTGTGTGCGCGCGCAGATGTTGGTAAACACCTCAGACCATCAGACCTTCAGACATGTCAATGACAGTGTCCGGAGGGCAGAGGGTTGTTGACCGCTCTGTCCATCAGGTTTTCTTTATTTCCTTCCTTTATTTCCAGGGTTTCCTGACGTGTTTCAAAGTAAAGATGGACGTCAGCCTGTCTGAAAGAAAGACGAATTCATAACACAACAAAATAAACGACAGAACTTAGAACATAGCAAATGTGGCGTCAAAAACAGGCTGTGTTAGGGTCTGGGTGGTTTAAAACTTAACAAGGTAATGCTACATAATTGAAGCCTGATTTTGCTGATGAGTTTAGTTCCTGGTTACAGGTGTTACAGGTGAACTCCAAACACAACTGCCTCACACTGCTGTTCTTCTACCATCTCTACTAACGATGCTGCTCTGTCTCTCCTGTGTGTGTGTGTGTGTGTGTGTGTGTGTGTGTGTGTGTGTGTGTGTGTGTGTGTGTGTGTCCAGCTCTGCCAAGAGGATAAAGTGTATGGAGGAGGACGTGGACAGTCCAGGAGAGGAGTCCTACTACCCGGGTCAGGGTCGGTCTCCGGGCAGCGGCAGCCAGGCCAGCAGCTGGCACGACGTGGAGCCAGGTAGGAACCACACCCCAAACCCCCACCCTCCTCTTAACCTCTCCCACCCTCCTTACCGCCACCAATACCAGACCTAATACCCCCCTCCTCCTCCTCCTCCTCCACCATACACACACACTTCATACACATCCCAACTTTAACCTGCCGCTCGGACAGAGCGATGCTTCCATGTGACAGTGTGTAGTGATGCTTTCAGCATGTGGGGGAGTGTGTGTGTGTGTGTGTGAGAGAGAGAAAGAGAGAGAGAGAGAGAGAGAGAGAGAGAGAGAGAGGAGGCTGACATGTTAGTATGTAAACAACATAAACACACTGTATGTTTGTGAGACTGTGTGTGTGTGTGTACCTGTGTATTCAACTACAAAAGAGGGGCTAGAAACACAAGTAGTGTCTTGGTAATTGTGTGTGTGTGTGTGTGTGTGTGTGTGTGTGTGTGTGTGTGTGGGGTCAGGTGTGTTTTGTCTCTATAGCACAGCCACAAAACTTCGCTCTCTGTGATTGGCTGGAAGTTTTCTGTTAAAATCATACAGATACATTAATTTACATTTTGTTTCTTAAATGAATTATTAATTAGTGGCCAAGGAAATTTATTTACCTACAACAGCAGAGAAAACATAATTTAAACATAATTTCCCCTGTTGTTAATCTACATGTCCTCCATGTTTACCTGGTGTCTATATAAACTCAGTCTAATGTCCATTTCCACAGCAGAGATCCGTCCAAGCTCACCACTCTGAAACTCATCACTTCCTGCACAGATATCAGGGATCCCGCACTTGTTTTGCGTGTGTTGAGAAAAATAAGTGGGAAGTGTTTGAGTTTCATTGATGGAAACTTAACAACAGTTAGTGGTGTCGCAGTTGCAGTAAACCAGAGGAGGTTCTGCACTGATGGAAGCAGAGCTGTGGAAATGGACGTTACTCCTCGTCCGTCTACGAGAGGCCGGCGGTGTTTGCTCAAGCTGACTGGATGTTATTTGAGACCATTATTTGAATACAGCTGACTTTCATTTGAATTGAAAATAATCAAATTACCACACAGCAGAGCTGGAGTAATGTAAGAACCACTGTACACACGGCTTAGAGAACGGGGGGGGGGGGGTCTGTGGGGCCCAGCAGCTCAGGTGAGCCCCAGGTTCAACTTGCAGGTTAATCCGGGCATGAATGTTGCTGTGGGTGGGATCAGACTATTTCCCGGTCCTGACTTTCGGCTCTGATCACATCTGGTGAACAGGCTCTGCTCTCTGCAGCTCATTCACTCACATTAAAGTCTCAGCTTTAATGTGAGCAGGTTCACATCAGTGTGGGAGATAGAGCTCTGTAACACATGCTGATCAAAGTTCAGGTTCAGAAGTCAGAAACACGAAGTCAGACTAAATCCTCTGTGATCAGTGACTGTGTCCCGGTTCAGGGGACGTCATAGACCATGAAGGCCGAACTGAAATGAGACGGTCTGGTCTTCGTCTCATTTCGCCACCAGCTGTCCCCGCCCTTACACCGGGAACACACTTCCTGCGATGCGTGAGCGTGGCGGCTGACGTCACTGAAGTGCTGCGGAGAATCACGTGGGAGTGTTCACACCGGCTGTGTCTGTGCTGCTGCAGCCATATCTACATAGAGTTTGCAGGGCACTGAATGATGGATTTCTCTCCGATTTATCTTTGACAGAAACCATCAGTAAAATGCCTCCACATGCAGCTGTGGTTTAAAAAATATATATTTATGATATTTATGAGACAAAATTGCAGAGGTTCAAAAGTAATTGGACACTTGTCTACTAAATGTTTGTGTTGTTTCAACATTACCTCATGTTTCTGACTTCTGAACCTGAACTTTGATCAGCATGTGTTACAGAGCTCTATCTCCCACACAGGTCTTTATACACTGATGGGAACCTGCTCACTTTAAAGCTGAGACACGTTATGATCTGGACTGATGTTCAACCTGTCTCACACACACACACACACACACACAAACTCTGACATAAATACTTTATTGTTGAGGTTCTGCCTCCATCTCTCTCTCTCTCTCAGTCCGTATATTCATGCTGCTTTTCTTTTTCTTTCCTCTTTTCGTTTCTTTTCTTTCTTTCCTCCGTCTTGCGTTGGAAAGCTGGATATAAGCTGCGTGGCTCTCTAGCTAGCTCGTTCATCTCCCGACAAGGTAAAGACTGTAACACGCCTTTTTATTTCCTGTCTACGTGTCTGTCAAACCGTTACCTCCTCCTCCACCCTCCACCTCCTCCTCCTCCTCCTCCTCTTCCTCTCCCCCTCTCCTCCTCCTCTCCACCTCCTCCTGATGGGTAGATGATACCTGGACTGTCTTGGTTTGTCGTTTGGTGTCGTGACGTGTCTGGTTCAGTCTGGTGGATGTTTGTTTCTCCTCCTGCCGAGTTCCTCCCTCCTCTGTTTCTTCCTCCTCTTCTCCTCCTCCTCTCATCACCTCAACCTCCCCCCCTCACCCGCTCTGTCCAAGCATCCTCCTCCTCTCTCCTCTCATCCCCTCACCTCTCCTCTCTCTTGTCTCCTCCTTCACTCGTACCTTGTTTCCCTCTCCCTCTTTTCATTTTTCTGTCCTTCTCTCTTCTTGACTTTCCTCTCTCCTCCTCTCAGCTAATGTTCTTTCCTCTCCTCTTCTCTGTTATCTCCTCCTCTCCTGTCTTGTTTTCTCTCCTTCTGTGACCTTCTTCCCTCCTCCTTTCCTCTTCTTCCGTCATCTCTTCTCTTTTCATTTCCATCTTTACACCCTCCTCCTTTCTCCTCCCATCCCATTTATCTTCTTCTTTCTTTTGTTCATCTCCCTATCTCTCCTCCCCGTTTTTCTTTCCTCTTTTACACCTTCACTCTTTTCCTTTCACCTCACCTCTTTTTCATCCCTCCTCTCTTGTTTCTGCCAATTCTGTCCTTTCACTTCCTTTCACTTCCTTTTTCTTTCCTATTGTCCTCTCTTGTCTCCTTCTTTCCTTTCCTACCTTTTTTCTTTCCTTTGTTTTCCTTGCTTTACTTTCTTTTCCTTTCCTTTCCTCTTGTCTCTTTTGTTCCTTTCCTTTCTTCCTCTCTTGTCTCCTTCATTCCTTTCCCTTTTCACTTCCTGTCTTTGTCTTTCCTTCCTCTACCTTCCTTTTTCATTTCTTCCATCTTCTCTTCTCTCCTTCTTTCCATTATGTTTACTTCTCTTTTCCTTTCCCTTCCTTTCTTCTGGTCTCCTTAATTCCTTTCCTTTTCCTTCTCTTTCATCCTTTTTTTTCCTCTTCTCTCCTCCTCCTCTCCATGTTTACTGTCTGAGTTTCGGTCTGGAGGCACCTATGGGTGCAGCACCCATCACACCCCCTCCTCCCCCACCATACCCCACCCACCCAGCAGCATGCTGATGACATCATCATGGCTATTTATTTATTGGTTGGACGTCTGCGAGGTAAAAAAACAACAACTGCAGGACAGACTGAAATACTGTGCATGATACAGTGTGTGTGTGTGTGTGTGTGTGTGTGTGTGTGTGTGTGTGTGTGTGTGTGTGTGTGTGTGTGTGTGTGTGTGTGTGTGTGTGTGTGTAAATGTATTTGTGTGTGTGCGTAAATCGCAATTAGCTGTGTATTTGCCGGCTACACACACACACACACACACACACACACACACACACACACACATTCCTTTAAGACAGTCGTTCCCACTCCCACCCCATGTCCATATAAACCTACAAATGTGTGTGTGTGTGTGTGTGTGTGTGTGTGTGTGTGTGTGTGTGTGTGTGTGTGTGTGTGTGTGTGATATCCTCTGTCTGATAACAACAGAGAAAGTAGGGAGGAGGAAGAGGAGGGATGAAATAGTGAAGAAGGGAGAGGAAGGATAGACATTAAGGAAGAAGGAAGGAAAGATGAGAGAGGTTAAATGGACGGATAGATAGACAGACAGACGGACGGACAGACAGACAGATAGACAGACAGACAGATAGACAGACATAGATAGATAGATAGATAGATAGATAGATAGATAGATAGATAGATAGATAGATAGATAGATAGATAGATAGATAGATAGATAGATAGATAGAGGTGTAAACAGGGTGAGGAAGGAGAAAGTGCTGAGCAGACTGCCTTGATTCCACCTGACAAAACCTCTTCAATTGTTCATCACTCACACACACACACACACACACACACACACACACACAGCCTTCCTCCTCGCTCTCCTCCTCCTCCTCCTGCTGCTCCTCCGTCCCTCACTAAGTTCATCACAAACACTCAGAGTCCACGTCGTCCTCAGATCGCAGGATTTGATCAGAAGTCTGTCTCATCCAACAGACGTGAAGAGACAGTTAACAAATTCATCAGCAGAAACTCTGTCACATTTATTTCTATTCACCTATTATCTAATATAACAAAGTCACAAGAAGAACACCCTCGGGTTATTCCAGTAAAGTTTTAGGTTAAAGGGTTTAAAGTTTTTTTTTTAATCAGCTGAGAGGACTGATTTATATTTTTGACATATATTTTATATTTTTAATGTTCTATATTTAATTAATACATACATTTGAAATGAATATATACATTAAATATATAATATAAATATATATTTTTGAAAGATCTGTCGTTTTTCATAAAAACTAAATGATTTTCTATTTAAATTTATTTAGTAGTTATAAAATTATATTCTGTGATTATCTGTCCTAGATTTTTTAATTATATAATTAATTAATTATACATTATTTATAATATTTTTGTAGCAGAAATTCCAAAAAAAAAGTAATTATTTTATCTTATTTTTATTACAAAACTAATGTTCAGGCCTTTTATTTATTTATTCATTTATTTATTGTGTTTTTATACAACAATATTTTGACAGTTTTGTAAATATTAAGAATAAAAAACAATAAAACTTTATGATCAAGTTAAATAGGACAGGAAACACTGAGTTCTCCCTGTGACGCCCTCCAACCCCATGCCTCGAGTCTGTTGGCCCCTCCCTCCCTTATTTTCAGACCCCGCCCATACTGATCCCTCACCCCCAACCCCACCCCCCCACCCCCTCCCATATCCCCTCCTCCCATTGGAGCCGCATTAAAAATGTGAAAACAAGCAGAAACAAACGCTGCCATGACCCGCTCCTCATCCTCATCATCATCATGGTTCTTGGCAGGGATGCCGTCGCCCGCTGGCGCTCTAAAGAAGTCAGAGAAGTCTGGTTTCTGCGGCGCCGTGCCTTCACCGAGCGGTGCCTCCTCCGCCTCCACCTCCTCCTCTTCTTCTTCCTCCTCTTCCCCCCGAACGGCTTTCACACACCATCACCGGCCCGTCATACTGGGCCTCGAGGTGAGGTCCCAACAGTTCAACCCCAACAAAACCCACCCCACCCCCCCCACTCCACCTCCCCCCACCTCCCTCACTTCTCCCCTCTCACACACACTCACACACCTCCTCACCCCTCCCTCCCCTGTAAGTCACTGTGGGTTTTGTCAGGAGGAGGCGCAGGAGCAGATCAGGAGGACGTACCTGTAGAGACACACACCTGCAGGCTTTAGGCAGTGTTGTGCATGTGGGTGTGTGTGTGTGTGTGTGTGTGTGTGTGTGTGTGTGTGTGTGTGTGTGTGTGTGTGTGTGTGTGTGTGTGTGTTCCTCATGCCCCGCCCACTCCTAACCTCCTTTTTCCTCCTCTTGTCACTGTTTTTATCCTCTGATTGATTAAAGGGATAAATGACAACACAGAAACACTTCCTGCCTGCTACTGTGTGTGTGTGTGCGTGCGTGCATGCGTGTGTGTGTGTGTGTGAATGTATAGTAAAAACAAATGATTGTAAACAGTAGGTTGAACGGTAAAGACCATATTCATCCCTCAGTTCTTGGTTGTCTGAGTGTCCTTAAACACACTTCACGATATCACTATTTCATGAGGTGTGTATACCGTTAGTGTTTGTCGTGTGGATCTCGGACCATGACGTCCACATCATACTAAGCTCTGATTAGCTGAGCTGTTCCTTTCAAACAGTGAAATAACCAACGAACACCAGATGTTTAAATCCAGATGTTTGACAACTCAAGGGTTTGGACCCGGATCAGCCCCTCAGGACGAGTATTCATGATTCAGTTGTGATGTTTGAGTGTGTAGCAGGACACTGAGCTCATGGCCAGTCACTGTTTCCTCACTTAAACCTCATTACTGCTGTGCACAGGTATCATAAAAAATGATAAAATATTGTTGATGAACATGAGGTGGGACTTTGCAGAAATGTTCTGTAGTTTCTTTAAACTCAGTTGCAGTTAGAACAAGTTTTAAGGTGCTAAATGTCAGTAAATAGATATGATATGATATGATATGATATATAATATAATATAATATAATATAATATAATGGCTCCATCCATCTAACCTCACTCATCATGCAACAATAATGTAATGAACATAAGACCCAAATCCTACAGTCCTCCCAGTCCTCCTAAAACTCAGGACCACAGTCACAGAATCAAAGCAGGAGGATTTAGCTCAGACAAGGACCCAAGTGGACCTGTGAAGACCAGAACTTATCTCAGGGCACTTTTCATTTACTGCAGGTCTAGACCGTCTCCTTATAATTACAGAGAGCAACATTCCCACCATGAGCAGCAGCTGGAGACAGTGGAGACGAAAGCTCCCTTTAACAGGTAGAAACCTTAGAACCAGGCTCAGGGTGGGAGGGGCATCTGCCTTGACACGTTGGGGGGGGGGGTTGTGAGACATTGCTTGGGCTCTTGTTTGTGAGACATTGTTCAGTGCTGAATGTTTTCCAGCGCTGTGGAGGAGAGTCCTGCTCATGTTGGAGCAGATTAGAGAATTGAAAATCAAATTATTCTTCTTATATATCCTCGTCGGTGACGCTGCGTTAGATCTGGATCTGGATCAGGATCAGTCCCCCTCCATGTTAGACGTTCTTCAGACTCCTCCTGGTGTCCTCCTTCACATCTCCATCGTCCTCACCTTCATCTTTATCCTCTCCTCACAGTGATGGGTTATCTCCTCCTTCTCCTCCTCTCCTCTCCTCCTTCTTCCTCTCTCATCACCCTCTCAGCTGTCACTTCCTTCTTTTTCGGTCAGAATT